GCTAAATGTGGTTCCCAATGAGTGTCGCGCATTTAGTCTGAGTGAATAAAATGACTGTTTGGCCACATCTAAGTGAGCAGTTCGACACATACACTACTGTACTGGGAGAACAGATGAGATGATTAGATTTAGATTGGTTTCAAAGTGATCTGTTTCATAAAATCACACATCAGCATGAAGGTGAGGTCTCCCTTTTTTATTTTTATTTTTTATTTTCCTTTAAAAAATATAACAAATGGAGACAAAGCTGCATATGAAAATAAACAGATTTATTTAAAGAAATGTTCACAGTAGTAAAAAAAACATACAGTAAACAAACATATATGGTATATCAAAGTACTTCTTAAATAACCATAAATAATGTGTAAACTGCAGAAAAAAAAGAAATGTCCACAAATGGTGGTTTTTGTTAAAACTGTAGTGCAAGATGGCACTGACATTTGTATCAATTATTTTGTGTCTTTATATCTTATATATCCTTATATATAAATTATATATATACATAAATATACATTGTTCCCTCTCTTTATCACGGTTCTGCTTTCGCTCCCCCAACACATTGCAGATTTTTTTTAATCCGATCTCGTAAAATTTTCGCTGTATAGCAAATAAACTAGACAATAAAATTTTGGCTTTGAAAATGTGAACTCTCGTTTTGAAATTGAGATGAGCGCATTTGCAAACGATCCCTGGTAGCTGTTTAACTAGACAAGATGGTACACAGCATACTATTGGCTAATTGAGCATGTGCCTCTGTTCCTCATTCTGATTGGCTCCCCCTGTCTGTCGGCCACTCTCTCGTTCACTCTGCGCCACCATTCTACAGCTCTACTGTGTGGGAAAGGGTAATACAGTCTAGGGAGGGTTGATAACAGCGTGGGGGAGGTTCATAAAGGGTAAATATATAATTATTTATATAAAAACTATCCTCTACTTTGCCATGTAGAGGGATTACTATATATATAAATACTGTATCACAAATCTTGATAAAAATGCTGTATTTAAACTCTAGTTCCTAACTATTTTTTCCCAGAACACAGAACGTCTTCCTGGCAGGTTCATGGTGACAGAATGGAAAGGTGTCATATTTTACAGAGCTTCACAAACACCAAAAACAGATTCCTTTTACCGGAAAAAGAGACTTTAAAAGCCAATGAGTGGCGCTGGAGTTGAAAAAAAAAAAGAATATTTAAATTCCTGTGGGGATTGTGACTCAAAACATTCTGCTGATTTAAATGTTGGCGGTGGATTTTTCTTCTGTTGTCTAAGAAAATACTTTTAAGACATAAATCTTAAATTTGTACTACTTCATCTGTTTTTTATTCACTTGCCTGAACTGTAAATATATATTAAACTCGTGAAGTGAATCACAGAAGACCTGGGTTTGGGAGTAAATTCAGTAAATATAAGTTGACATTCCTTCCTTCTGAACATTATCATGGAGGTCTTCATGAAGCGCGATACCAATGCTGAGTATCAGATCAAGCCCTCCATAAAAGAGACGAGATGTAGAGGTGGGATTTGTGGTTTGTGAAAGAACACACCAGGATAGAAAAACAAGGTCAACTGAAGAGCAGAGGAAATTATGGATGCTGAGAGAAGATCACAAATCCCATTTGAATTGCTCATAGGTGTAATGAGCAGGCACCGTGAATCAGTCCATTCAGCTGCAGTTCTTGACGCACAGAATCTAATATGCCTGTGTCCTCGGTGTCCTCCAGTTTTGTCATTCATCATTTTTGCTTTTTTTTGCATCACTTTTGTCTGTGTGACCAATAATGAAGTGAAATTATTCCTATGCTGAAATTCTATTGATCGTGACAGAAGGAATAACTGTTGTGATACAGAAGTGCAGATCACAACTAACCACAGGAAGTGGTTTGTGTGTGTCAGCACTGCAGTCTGTGAGCCCTGCTTGAATATATGCATGTATGTGTGTATGTAGGGCTGGGTATTATACTTCGATTCTTTTATGGCACCGATCAAAATGCTCTGGTAGTACCGAGTATCGTCTTTCGGTGCCAGATTGGCTGTAATGTCACACGTGATTGGGGCACGCTGGAAAAAATACATACATGAATACCAGAGGTGTTTCTTGGTTACGCCCACAGACGAGGTTCATGTGTATCTGTGGTGGGAACTGTAGATGTGAAGCGAGCTGAAGCGTGGTTGCCTCCGACACACACCTCAGTGACTGTTGTTTCTGTACGAATAAAGCAGCGCAACCAAGAGCGAATCAGACAACCACAGCTGCAACGGCTAGTTTGTGAACCTTCAGAACAGTGTACGTTTTGAGAGGAGTGCACACACAGACACACACAAACACACACACACACACACACACACGGCTTATTTGTGAACAATCAGCCCTCGCCAATATCTTGATCTATTGACTGCGGGAGTCACACCCTTTGACTGTATACACCTCCATTTTACCTCCTGTTAAGTGTTTTTAGGAGAATATTTTAAGTTTAACTTAAGACTCATTTAAAATTGTGAAGCACAGTTTCTGCTGTTGGAGACACCATCAGCCAGGAGTGGGCTTGTCGTTTTTTTTTAGTCGAAAAATATACCAAAGCTGAAAAGCAGAGCTCGAGATTTTTACTGTATTGTGTGTCATTTTCTTTTTGTTAGAATTGGTATTATAGAATTGTTATCGAAAAAAAAGTATCATTAATACTTTTTAAGTACAGGTATCTAAATGTTTTATCAATACCCAACCCTATGTGTATATGTATATATGTGTGTTTACATGGATTTATATATGTATATGTGTCTATTTCTTATTTCGTAAACCGCTACTATTGTCCATTTTTCTAAATGCTTTAGTCCTTTATATAATGTGGGTCTTTAAAGGGTCTTATGTCTTCATAAAAATTGGATATTGTTAAGTTATTATTGTTTTAGCACATTGCCACCTACAAGTCTGTGTCTGAAAAGATGGAGGAATTCAATTGGTCAAAAAAAAAAAAAAAAACCCACCTCAAAAGAACAATTTGTCTGAGGCTCTGAGTAGATTCCCAGTCTTCCAGGTAATTTCTCTCCTGACACGTTTCAAAGTACTCGACTGGATTGGCTTGGACTCTTGGAGAAGTGGCACCTCTGCTCCCAGAGGCTTCTACAGTTCTTCAGTTCTTTGTCAGTACTTTCCTCCTTGTAAGAGGAACTCAACAGTTTATTTTCTGCTTTATTTTTCTATTGTTCATAAAGAGGAAACTGAAACTGTGGTCTATCTGTCTGTCGAATTCATCTTAATGAGGTCTGGGCTGCATTCCACTGGAGACAAGTAGGCTAAATCAGTTCAACCACAATTGTCCAGTTTCCTACTAAAAGAACCCAGTTCCTCGAATGACAACACTTTAGGCTAAAACCTGCCATATTTGTCCCTGAAGTTATGTTTTTGAAAAGTCTTGCAGGCTTTTTTAAGGACCTCCCAGGTGATCCTCTTCAGATTTATTCTGCCATGGGTCTATATTTCTTCTTTCTTTTTCGTCTTGGCATTTGCCCTTTCCAACACGGTGACAGGTCTTTGACGCATGTTCTTGGCTGCTCCTCGTCCACAAATCCATCCCAGATCAAGCTCCATTGGACTACAGAAAGATCAACTTGACATCACGATGACGATGCCAGATGCTGAACCAGGTCCCCTGTTGCCTAGTTCTAGTTCCTCCAAGAAACAACTTCTCATCAGAGCCTGAAAGCTTTCTTGGCTGTCCCCTCTCATTTTTGTCCTTGACCTCCCCCGAGTCGTTAAATCTGTGCTTAACACGATAAATTAAACAGCATGATTATTCTCTGTGCTCAGCTTCTGCAGATTACTGAAGTTGCGTGTAGTTTTATAGCAAACACTGATGGATGATGACAAACAGGACGAAGAAATGAAGAGAGGTCAAAGCTGGACAAGTAAAGATTAAAGAGATCTCTTTGGCGTGAGCTCCACTGGCAGGTGTTCAAGTTTGACACTAAAGGTCCGGTCACCCTCACGTACACACTGAGTCGCTCAAACAGCTGCCACTGCGGCTCATGTGGGGATGAAAGGCCCTGAAATGTAGCTTGTAGCTGGTGGCAGAGGCTGCGACTTGTGGTGAAGCACTTTGATATTTTTTCTGTCTCTAAATAAAAACATCAGCAGGTCGTGGGGATGATGCCATGAGGTCAAACGTAACTTGGCAAAGGACCTTCTACTTCTCAATGTCCCTACTC